GCCAGGTCTGCCCTGGGAGCTGCAGGTAGCACACCAGCTTCACCTAGGGCCACTTTCGTCCAGCAATGACCCCATCCCTGCCACTTTGCAATGCTCACTAGCCTAGTGTTGGGGCAGTGTCATCACAGCTACCCCTCCCAGCAGAGCTGGCCTGGAGCACAGGCCAGGAGCAGTCAGATGTACCAGCAATGATAGCCCATGTTCTACCCCAGCTGGGACTTGGACATTCACTCCCTCCCCCTTTTCCAGCTCCCTGTGAGTCCCGCTGCAGTCAGTGGCACTGGAGGGATCTCTGCTGGCATCCCCCTCCTGCCAGGACAGGCTCGGAGCAACTGCCGGGCTACTGAGTGGTGGTGGGCAACAACATCTCAGGATGTGGCTCCTCCCTAGCACAGGGCAAGGCCACGAGCACTTGGAACACACAAAGAATGGGCAAGGAGTGGCAGGTTGCTGATCCCATCCTTTGACTTGTTTATAAACAATGTAAAAGGAAGCCCAGGCACCCAGGGGTTTGCCTTCCCTCAAAACTTCTTGCACCTTTTGCCTGCATGGGTTGTTCCTTCCCTCCCTCTTCCCAACCTCTCCATCCCATGCACCACCTCCTGTGCCACCACACCTGCCTGCTTATTTGTGGGAAGCCAGTGTGGTTTGAGATGGTTTTATCAGAGAAAGACTTGGAAATGTTTGTGGTTCTTCTTAAGCGTGCGGTGAGGCAGTAGCTGCTGTTCGTAGGATGGAGCACATCTGAAACAGCACTCTGGAGGCTGGGCCTGAGCACCTACAGCCCAGCATGGTCTTACACTGCAAACCACTTCTGTGCCCTCAATCTTGTTAAAATTCCTGTGTCAGTCAAAGTCACCTTGTGCAAGCCCTGAAGGCTTTTCAGTGGAGAAGCATGTGCACGAAGATACCCTTCACACACACACTTCCTGCAGCATATGGATCTGTCATTCCAACACACATCCCACCTGGAGTACACCTTCCCACAGATGCTGCGACCAATGCAGAGGTGTCCAAACACAGCAGCTTCCGGGTGCTTGAAAAACCAACCACCCAGTCTCTGCTGGCTGATGACACATGGGCTGAAGGTGCTCAGCTGGGACAACTGCGCATCTCAAACCACTCGTAGGGCTCCATGATGTCACCCCGCTTTGCACAAATCTTGTGCCAACAAAGAGTGAGCAAAACTGAAGCAGACGAAGCAAAACAAGGACAGGGATGCATTAGGATGACTTTTTTGTCTATTCATGCTTCAGTGGAGCAGGTCAGATGATGGCATTGGCTCCCTGCCCATCAGTCAGGTGTGGCTGCTGCCTGCAGGCACTGGGTAACGCGAGGCAAGAAGCTCAAGGAAAACTGAAGACCCATGAAACCACCCACCTTAGTTCTCCATGAACAATTTAATATGGTTTAATAAAGATGTTGTGGAGATCTAAACAGATTAAAAGTCTCTCTTCAAATGTTGAACTTTTTCACCTGAATTGGAAATAACAGTGTAAAGGACTGCATTTTGTTTTTCCTTGACATTAAATTTTGTTGCTTTGTAGCAACATCTTACATTATTTTGAATGAATTCTGGTACTATTTTTGTTAAGCATACAAAATTATGCTTTCTCTAGCTGCAGTTGTGGCTGAAAACAACTGCTTACTGCCTGCAATTCTGAAAAATTATTTCCACCATCTACCATTTTTACCCTCAAAATGTAGGCAATCTGAATAATCTCAGAATAGTTTCAGAACTGTTTCCACTTACACAACTGTAAGTGTCCTCAAAACTAAATAAAATGCCCACCTCTTGAAAGCTTTCATTTGAGGATGGTGAAACATTCTCAGAAATAAAAGTCAATCTGATCCTGATAAAATACTCTGTGAAAAAAAAAGATTTATGGAGTTTAAAAAAGAACCCAACAAATGAGAAAAGTCATTTAACTACATGGAAAAGAACATGATTATCAGGAGGCCTCAAGGAGAACAAAATGCAGAGGTTTTTGCAGCAGAGACTCCCACCACTATGCTTCCCAAGGTCCCCAGTGCTGCAATGCCACTCTTCCAAGCCCAGCTGCATCAGCAGACCTTGTTTGCTGAAGGGATTCTTTAAGGAAAAATAACTGGAAATTTGTTTGGAGTTTTTTGGTTCTCTGGACCTAATCTTCCACCTCAGTACCAAGTCATGAAGTTGCTTCTTCCTGTGTGTCCAACACAGATTTCCTTTGTGATTTCCAGAGTGAACATCCTTTGAGGTACTGAGCAGCCAGAATGACATTCAATTTTCTGATCTAGCAGTACTTCAAGACAACTTCCTGCAGCAAATAGCATCAACCTAATGCACTGAGCTGCCATGGCTCCTTCACCTCAACCCGAAAGGCCCAAGTAGAATACAAACTCCTCAGGTAACGCACAACAATTATTGATTCAGTCTGAATTGCTAGAATCAGTATTTTATTGGCATTTCTTTACCCCGACCAGTATCTGTGCAAAGCTGGCTAATTTCCCTTTGCTTATTCACATCTTAATGTGTTGAAAATTCATGCACATACTTGTGATATTTTAGTAGTTGTTGCAGAACGACAGTCCTTTTATTTTCCAGGATTTACTGCTCAGTGCCCAGGCTGTGTGATTCACTGAAGCTAAGGAAAACTGGGGAGAATGATTCACAGTAGAATTCCAAGGAGTCCATTTCTTCTAAATCAAGGCAGAAAAAATTCTCATACAATCTGTAATCAGTGCGACAAAATTCTACATTATTTTAAATTTACTTAGCGCTATAAATATTCACTAGTGACAATACTACTCTCACCTGAAAATAAGGCAGGGGCAAGACCTGATCTACATCTGGTTTATATCTATTATCCACGCTTGTATATGATTTTATATGCATACACTTGTATAAAACAACAACAAAATAAAACTGTCCCCACAACAATAAACAGGGTATATTGTACAGCTTATAAGTTATGATATACAGTAAAACTATCTCACATCCCATAGGTTATGGGATACATTGAGAAACAGACAATTATGTGTTCTTTGCAAATTTAACAAAGGATTATAAAAGAGGAAGCAAGATTTTACATACAATGGGGCTGATTCATCATTGCTGCTTTTACTCCAGTTTAAAATAAAGGTGTTTTCATGTAATGGGAAACGTGGAAGCAATAACATAATGAATCACAGTCAATACATACAATTCACTAGAGCTGTAATATTAAAAATTATTATTTTAAAAAATGACTGCTTGATTTTGCAACCCTGAAGTCAAATTGTTCACATTTAGTTTCCTTGCCTGCCTTTTTAATGTATGCAGAAAATAAATAAATTGTTTGTCCTACAGTATTGGCCAGCTTTGCTTTTTGATGTGGAAGGGAATGCTCAGCTTATCACTTTGCCATTGCTCTTCCACACCAAACCAGAACCAAGCCATGGAAGCCCATGGTCTGGCTGATATGTTGGCTTTTAATGACATGTGTCACCCTAAGTGTCTAATAACTCTATTTGTAGGATTTCAAACCCTAAACTACTTTGGAACATTCACATATTTTACCTACTACTAAGCTGGCAAATATGATTTAATTACAATTCTGTCATCTAGTCATGCTTTTATACCCACTGAACTCAAGGTGTGCCATAATATTCATACAACTACCCATATAGTTGTACCTAATTGCTAATTTTGCAGTGCTGCAACTCTCCAGCACTAACAGAAACATATGTACATATGTAACAGAAAAGGAGCAAACCAGTGCTGTGGATGGACTGATATCTGCTATTCTCATGCTTACTGATGACATCTATATTAAAAACAGTATCAGCAGAGGACTGCTGTGGGAAGAGAAACACAAAATTCTGCTCAACAACATCTGAAGCCAGATGGCCCAGTAGGTAAGTTACAATGTCAGAGACAAAGTGCTCCTTTTGGCTGCTAGGGCTGCTTGTGCTTCTGGTAGTCCTGGCTTCTGCACCTCCTCACAGAGCATGATGGTGGCACCTAATGGGGAAGCTGCCGAACAGTCAAAAAAGTGTTTTATGATTTTGCTGCATCAGACAATTTGTCCTTCAAGCTTTGAAAGACACAGGAGGCAGCCATGGGGGGCTGAGGGTTTAAAGGCAGCTGGTGATTTTATGTCTGGATTAGATTTAAAGGAACAGTATGCTTCACGCTGCAAATCAATGTTTATTTTACAACAGAACCATCAGGATCGACGTTAGGGTGCCAGAGTGCATCTTCACTAATCTATCCCATAACAACACGGGAACACAACTTCAAAAAACACACAGTCATACATCTGGTAACCACATCTGTCCCCATTACTTAAAGATTAGAAATGCTTTGGGACACACATACACACACATTTGGGAAAAAAAAAAAAAAAAAAAGCAGTAACAAGAACATAAGGGACGTGCAGAATAAAGACAGGGCCTAGATCGCAATGAAACAGTAAGAATTAGACAAAACTAGATTCCAATTAGAGAAAAACTCTCTCCAAGTAGTCACCAGTCCAGCCTTGAGACAGGCTTGCAGGACACCTGCAAGGGATGGAAAGGAGCAGTCCCCACAGCTTATCTTGATTACAGCCTTGAGCGCTGGGGAAAAACACACTGAGTAATTGAAATAACAGTATTAATATATTAATGAGCTATTAGCATTCTAAAATTCACACCCATAGGCTAGAGGGACCCCTACTAACAACAAGCCCCCCAATCTCTGAGCGTGCACAGTGAAGTTCCTGAGCATTGCTACTTCAAATGGAAGCGAGGGATAAGTCGACCAATTGTGTGTATGAGGATAAAATAATGCTAGAGAACAAGTTCCTTCTCATGTTTTTACGTATAAAAGTAGCACTTGTGTTTCGGGAAACTGAGCTTGCTCTGTGGAATACCACCCTGATCCCTTTTCTGTGCAGAATTGGATACTAAAGCAAATATCTTGACTACGTGTGTGGATCAGCTTCTTGCAGCAGTAACACATTTTTTGTTGCTGTTAGAAAGTGCCAGGTAGTCCATCATCGTTTCCTGGTCCCACTGTTGCCACTGGCAGACTTACTGAAACTTCTGCTCATCTGTGGGAAGTGAACAGTTGGTGTTCTTTCAGTGGGGCCATACAGCCCTAAATTCCTGGCTGTAGCTGACTTCCGAAGAGGCTTGACACTGGGGAAAGGATTGAAGACTTGCGGCTTCAGGTTCCCAGGCTGGGGAGATTTAGCTGGGTTTCCACTGTCACTGGACAAACTGGAGGACTCTGACAAACATTGCTGGCCGGACTGATGGGATGTTGACTCAGCATCAGTTTTGTTATCTGAAGTGAGTTCCAGTGCTTCCAGTTTTAGCTGAACCACTGACATGTTTGTACTGCTGTCTGTAGAGACTGGCTCAGACGACTGCCCATCAGTTTTGCGAGTAGTCCTGTCATCCAAACCACCTCCTTCTCTTTCTCCAAAGTCAGAATGTTTGGAAGTCTCCTCCTTTGCACCAGGACTATTTGTTTTATAGCTCTCACTCTGCTCATCTATCAGTCCTATGGTATCCCCATAGCCCAGCTGGCCTTTGGCCCTCGCAATGTTCTTTCGATGAACTCGTATGTGAGTGCGCCATGGAGAGTTGAGTTTTGTTTTAAGATCTTCTTGGGGAATGGGAGACATCTTCCCTGTGGCATGACTTGGGATATGAATAACAGCATTTTTGAGAGACCTGTTGTTCAATTTCATCTTCTTTCCTAAAAGGAGGTGGTTTATCACTGGGGAATGGTTTACCTGAGAAGGGAGGAGGCTGGTAACTGGTCCTTTGTCTGAAATAAAGTGTTTAAAAGAAACATAATACTGTTAAAGATCAAAATAAAGCAATGTTCTAAGGATCCACCACCAAATTTTATTCCTCTTGAAGTACCAAAAGATTTGTAGAACCGACTTCTATTTAAAAAAAATAAGAAAATTCACTGAATGTCTCTTACTTCAGGAAGTTGAACACAAAGTTGTTAACTTCTATAATAAAGATTTCCTGTCCTCCGCCTCTACTCCTTATCTATGGGTAGGTCCTGAGCCAGGAACATCATGAAAATAAATAATTAAAATAGCTCCTTGATTTTTTGAATTGCACTGTAACTAATAGTTTAATATTGACTTCTGATCTTACCTCTGTTTTACTTCTCTTCCAACTGTAAGAGGCAATTCAGTCCCTATGTCAGGTCCATCAAACAAGCCTCTGCACGAGGCTTGTGTGACTGGAGAACAACCAAAATATTTTTAATGGATAAATTGCACGAAATCCTTTCTACAGGGTCCTCTTACTAAACCAGAGGAGTAGACTCAGAATTAGGTAATTAGATGACACACTGATTAAACAACAAAACCAGCCCAGCATCATGATTAGTAAGATTAGAAAGGCTTGTGTCTGGAGGTGGGAGTTGGCAATCCTTGGGAATCAACATTTTACTGTTTGCACTGTTTCTGATGGCTACAGTCTTTGTTCAAAGGAAATACTTTGCCAATATTTTAAAGATTTTTTTCCTTACTAATTATGCTAATGAAAAGTTAAATCTCAATGTATTCAAATCACAGAATCCTAGAACCATTTAGGTTGGAAAAGACCTTTCAGATCAAATGCTCCTGCTGGGACAAGTTTAGACCATCTAGAACAGGAACAAAAGCTCTCAACAGTGACCCATCTGCTTGGTTCAATGCTGACTTAGAAAGATGACAGCTCAGTGGGGAGGAATGTCTGGGGTGGGCTGTGTGCAGCCTGCACACCCACTCAAACCTTCAGCTGCGCTATCCATGCGACCCCCCGCCTGGTTCCATTTGACAGCTGGGGAACAACAGGCCCCCACAGGGATTGCTGAATAACAGCCTGATGTCCTGCTCCCTCCTCACAGCAGGGTCATTATGGCTAGGTAAGCTGTCAGCCACAGTGGAATCTCTAAGCCAGCTCTTCAGCTGTGTACTTGGCCATGCCCAGAGGAACTCAGAGGAGTTAGGATAATATGGACCAGATAGGAAACTACCTGCCACTTGATCTGAACTGTACTCATCTCCTTATTTCACTTTTTCCAGTGCATCAGTTAGTCAATTCCAAGAATGCCAAAGATTTAAAGTTCTTAATCAGAGAGGTCAATAAAATGCACCCAGATAGCAAAGACACTTTTAAATACCATTGTTCAGCTGATCCCTGGGACCTAAAAAAATACCAGGGTCGTCATCTTCAGATCCTGACAAAAGAAGAAAAAACATCACCTTCTCATTCACAATCTTCCTGTAGGAAGTGGAACCCACTTTACTGCCAATCTGTTATATACTCCATCGCTCTCATGTTTTGTCTGCTTGGTTAAATGTAAAGTAACTTTGTTTGCCTTGTCTCCTATGATGAAGTTAGCCTGTAATCTATCAGTAAACGAAGCATGTTTTGGTAGGTTACCTGCTCTGATATATACATGGTGAACCTGCTGTTGCTGCTTCTTCTTTATCCTGGAATATTGCTTTTTCAGCGCATTAATATCAGTGGTCATACGCTCCATCATCATGCTGTTAAAAGCAGCATGATACTCGCTTCGGCAAGAGTCTATTGCTCCTGGACTCAGTTCTGCAATGTTACTGGAACCCAGACTTTGTTCTTCATTCTGATCTGCACAGAGTGGAAATTAAGTGGAGTAGTAAATTGGCATGCTCAAGAGTTCTGCTCATTATCTATGACGGAAATCTATGTATGATTCCTATTGTCTTATTTACCTGTAGCCTTTAATTCAAAAAATATTATAATATTGATAATAAAGCTGCATTAACAAATCTGCTCTGTTTATAGTAAGAAGTATTGCATTTCTAGAACTACTGCTTAAGAATAACAAGGGTTTGAGGGGAGTTTAAAGAGTTAAAAAATAAATTGACATAGCAATGCAAAGCTATAAGCAGAGTCCCTCAATTTACCCAGCAGTACATCAAGCCATCACTAAAGTAATTCATAAACTTGTTATTAAAGACACTCAATTGATGGAAGAGGATGTTAATAATGCAAGTTACAAAATACATGACACTCAAGCCGGCAAGAGACTGAACAACCAACTTAGTGATACCAGCAAGAAGCATCAAGAAACAGAGCACCACAGGGAGAAAGCTGCTGGTAGCAACCAAAGGGACAGGCACTGAGCAGCTGAGGATCAGACACCTTCAGAGCACCTCTGACCAGCAGCTGCAGAGCAACAGCAGCAGTGCAATTTATTTTCACAGCTGTTTCTGATGCATCACCAAACTGACACTGCAGGGTCAAGGGGGTAAATCTTTTTCCAGGGATGTTTGTTTGTCTTTGTCTTAGTTTGCAACAGCAGTTTCATGTTCTGACTAAGTGCTAGCTTGAAGCAGCAGGTAGAAGAGACAGTTGTCAGGAAGGGAAAAGCAAAACACCACAGCAATCAAGAGGAAAATCGCAGCTTATGGGTCTCAGCAAAACAAAGCTACAAGAATGATGATGAATAATTGGACAACAGCAACTACTACATCAGGCTGAGTTTTTTTTAGGGGTAAGGTAGGGGTAGGCTGGGGATAATAACTACAACCTCTCTTTGGGTATCATGAAATCACTGTTGATCCAGTACATAAAGACTGCTAAAAGTTACCAAATTATCTGCCTCTCTTGTATGGATCAGAATTTTGTGCTGCTTGTAGAGCTGGCACAGATGAACATACAATTCTGTCATAAAACTTATTTCCATGTGGAGGGATTTGAAAAATAGTTTTGTCTGATGTTTTGTCAGAACACCCTAAACTATACCCAAATTTATAAAAATACACCCCAAATATATGACAGTCTGAAACATTTGGCCAATAGGGCAGTGAAATGACCTGCAGAATTCACTCACTGCTGAGAGGTTTCAGTGTAGTGATAGGACAGGAGGTAATGGTCCCTGTAAGACTTTCCCTCTAGTCCCTTCACCAGCCTCTGGACCTACTCCAGCACCTCAATATCCTTCTTGAAGTGAGGGGCCCAGAACTGGACACAGTACATGAGGTGAGGCCTCACCAGTGTTGTGTACAGGGGGAGAATTACATCCCTACTCCTGCTGGCCACACAGTTCCTGATACAAACCAGGATGTCATTGGCTTTCCAAGCCACCTGGGCACACTGCTGGCTCATGTTCAACCGGTTGTCAGCCAGTAGTTCCAGGTCCCTCTCTGCTGGGCCACTCTCCAGCCACTCTTCCTCCAGCCTGAAGTGTTGCCTGAGGTTATTGTGGCCAAAGTGGAGGACCCTGCACTTGGTCTTGTTGAATTTCATGCCATTGGCCTCGGCCCATTGATCCAGTCTGTCCAAGTCCTCCTGCAGCTTCTTCCTCCAGAAGCTACAGATGATTTCTGCAAGGTCATGCAGATTTAACTACACTTTCCAAAATGAAAAAAAAGCACTTTTACCTTTCATCTGTTTTTGGTATTTTTGGAGCTCTGGTGCCAAAAACCCACTTAATGGTCCAAGACAGCCAATTGCGTTGGCAATTGAGTCTTCATCATCTAGGTCATTCTCCTCATCACTATCTCTGATTCTGCCAAGCCTTCTGTCAATTGAGAATATAAGAAAAATAGAAGAGACATTATTAAATAAAGCCTTTATCAAACATCTTCATCTTCTTCAGGAGCACACAAAGCCACCTGCTTTTTGTCTACTTGTGTAGTGTAAGCAATAACCCTATATGCCCTAAGCAGTGCATTTCAAACTTACCCTGAAAATGAAGTTGATTTTACAGCTGCAGGGAAAGGAGTAATGTTGTATGTGTATTTCTCCCTTAATTCTGCCAGTTGTGGGAAAGGAAACTGAGCCATGGTATAAACAGTCTATGGGGAAAAAAAAAAATGCAGCTTTAAAAACAGTCATGTTCATTAACAATTCCACAAAAGATTTCTCCACTGATAAGACTTTCACAGTCTTGCAGGATTAAAGGCTGCACATTCTCTTGTGCTGTAAGGAAACTGAAAAGGTCTAGTTTTATTATTCACTCAGTATTTCCTGTAAGAAAAATTAAGACTGACTCACTAGAAAAACACATGGTTCAGAGGGAAAAAAAATAAAAACTGAACCAGTAACATAAGACTCAGGGTTCTTACAAAGTCCTCTACTTATTTACTAGTAATTGCCAATCCTCTCCTTGCCAGCACACCAGAAATTCTCCTCCTTCAATTATTATTTCACTTACATGAATGCATCACTGAGATTTTGGGGATCCTTCAGAAGACCTGTGTTTCTGCTCCTGCATTCCACAAAGTCCTGACACTAGCATAGAGATGAAAGAGCAGAACCTCACTTGATGTGGACTCTTAACAGATTCATTACTTCATCTGGAGGACTCAACACAATCCAGCTAACTTTTCTCCTCTCAGTTTCTGGTTTTGGTAGTTATTTTGGGGACCTGGGGGTCTTCTGTGTTGTTTATTTGGTTTGGTTTGATTTTTTGCTGGGTAGACTACGCTTTATTAAAGACATTTGTTCTATGGCGAACAAACAAACCTGTCTGCAACTCCCTGAACTCAACACGTAGTCCCTAGAACTTAGAACAAGGCCATAAAAAATCAAATATATTTTATCTACTTCCAATACTCAGAGTTAACGATGATAAACAGTTGCAAATGCACTTGCTTTCAGCATTATTTTTGCTTTAAATCATTTTATAACAACAGAAGGTGTGTCACCAGCCCACCTGACTTAAATATACATCGTATGCATTGCAACATCACTGCTAGTCTATTCCTACCTAGTTTAGTTGTCTTATTTTTCTCTGCTCTTTTAAACTTACAGCTATTGAAGACTTTCAAATAACTGAGACATGATTCATTTGGACCATAAATGTCAGAAGAAAAAAACTGTAGCAATGTAATTTCTCAGAGTTTCTCTGAAAACCCATAGCTTTTCTGCATTTTTAAATGTCTTCTGAAAGACAGAATATAAAAATTTCTCATTAGCTGCGATAAAAAATTTTCACTTAGATATTCTTTCCTGTGCTATTAAATGTCAGTGACATTTTTATCTGAAGGCAAATGACCTCAATTAAGATGAAAGGAAATTTTTGAACAATTTCTCCATAAACCATTCTTGAACTTGTCTGTGCTAAATACACTAAGAAAAATGGCCAATAGTAATTCAGTACTAGACAGCACTAGAACTTTCCTGACAGAAGAAGAAAAAGAAATGTTTCACCTACAACAGTGATGTAAGCAGTGAGGAGCAGGAAGGACACTCCTGGCTAGATCAGGCACAGAGCAACCGTGCAGCTCAGTTTGAGCCATGCATGGGCTATAAGGCAAGGAGAATGACTACAAAAACTCAGAGCCTGAACTGAAGCTTTGCCACTCTATGAAACTGCACTGCTACTATGAAAGACAAATACTCACTAGAGCCTAAACAGTGATAGCCTGACACTCTACCAGATGAAGGAATGCTATGATCAGAAGAAAGACCTACATCAGCCCAACCTGTCTGCCTGTTTGTTTGACCTCCACCACACTTTCCTGGGTTTTTTCTCCCCATATGTGTCAACTCTCTTCCTTCATCGAGAATGAGGTGTGCCTGGAATTTATTTCTACTCTTTATGTCAACAGCCTTTACAGGTAACTTGTTTCATATGCTGGTTACCACTGAAATGAAATGGTCTACTCCAAGTCCTCCATTTACTTCTTGCACCTACTGTTTCAGATTATATTTTTAGCTTTTGCCTGTCTCCAATCTGTGTTTCTTCCAGATCCTGTGAAATCTATTTAGCTTAGCATACACATTTTAACCTCAATTATTTGTTTGTTATCAGATTATAACTGAAACCCTACTTGCCTTCTGGCTAAAAAATCCACAAATGTTATGTTGGTGCAAGTTCCACTGGAATCATAGAATGTTTTGAGTTGGAAAGGACCTTAGAGATCATCTAGTTCCAACCCCCCTGCATGGATGGGGACACCTCCCACTACATCAGGATGCTCAGGGCCCCATCCAATCTGGTCTTGAATGCTTCCAGGGATGGGGCTTCCACAACATCCCTGGACAACCTGTTCCAGTGTCTCCCCATCCTCACACTGAATAATTTCCTCCTAATGTCTAACCTAAATCTTCCCTCTTCCAGTTTTGATCCATTACTGAATCTGGTTATTTCAAGAGCTGCCCCACTTTGGTTTAAGGCTTTTCTCTCTTCTCACTTTTGCTTGGAGAGCAAAACAAAGGGCAAAATCAAAAGCAAACCAAGCCCAAAATAAAACAAAGTGCAAAAGTAGCAGTGAATACCACCAAATCAGGGTAACTGTCTACAGGAGATAGTCCAGAATGCTGGGTACTACAGAGGGATTACTCTCTGTTCCCCTCTACCACAGTCATCACACAGGGATGCCTCTCATTTTTCTGTTTGCTTCTCATCTCCTCTACGTTGCAATATTTTTAGGTGCACAAACTGAAGTAGTTCAGCTGCTTATAAAAATGCTCACTTTCTGAAGATACATGAAAGCATGTACTGATAAAGTAGCTCACGCTGTTCAGAATATCTGCAGGCACCTGGCATAGTACAGCCTTCTGTCTCCACATCAGAACTGAAGTTTATTAATAGGCCAATAAAAGGACAATACTGAATAAAGTATTTGTTTAACTTTGAGTCCTGAATACGCATCCCAGTCTGAAATGTCTGCAGTACTTACCCTTTGTTTACCTAAGCTGTTCAATCAGAAACCAGGAGGATGCTGTAGGCTTTCTTGTTCCTCCAGTTCCTCCATACTCTCCTCAGCTCTCTCTACTCAGAACTCTTGCCATGCAAGGGCCAAATCTGCAAAATCTTTAAGCCCTCAATCCTAGGTATATGCATTGTCTGCATGAGAGGGAGGAATTTTAAATGATAAACTTACACAAACTATACATGCAGGTGGAGAGAATGAGGACAAGAGTCTGCTGATCTACTTTAGACATCTGCTCTGTCAACACTTGCCACTGAAGGATTACCCATATCTCCCTCCTCTAACTCCCAAAGAAAGAAAACAGGCCTTTTAGAGTAGTTTGTTTTCTAGTGGCAGAGAAATGCTTGTTACTTTTTGCTGGCTTCAGTAAGCCTGGACAAGTAGTTCAGATGCCAATGTATGTGTCATGCAAGTCTAAAGAAAAGTGAGATGACTGCCATCAGCAGCCTTTACTGAAATGTGTAGGGAAGGCAAGGTAGGATAATAATCCTTTCCCAGAGCAAGATACTGATCTTTGAGCCACCTTGTATTAGGAATAAATTCACTATTCCAATAGGGGGTTAAAAAAACCAGCATTTTGAAAACAAAACAGTCTAAACATTCATCTATGCCTTACTCCTCTGAAAAAGCCTAAAGCAACTTAAAATACAGTTGCCTTCAAGCAACCTGGATCCTTTCATTAATGCAATTATTCATATTTCTTTATGTTTTTTCCTCCAACACATAGAAGACTGTTCAAATTCAGCAGCCAGGCATATGGTGGCAGTCATATTCCCTAATGGTAAAACCCCTGCAGTGCTTAATCCTCTCCACTTAATCGTAAGGAGAGCCCAGAGTGAAACACCTCAGATGGAGACTGCGCTGCCGGTGCCTGCCTGTGACTTGAAGAACGCTACCCAAACTATAATGTGGTTTCTTCAACTGAGAGGAGACACCTGAAACAGACACACTGCTTCTTTATACAGAAAACTTAAACCTGCCCTATTCTGCACATCAGTGGCAATGATATCCTACCTTAATACTCCTGCCAGTGTCACCATCTTTTTTTTTTGTTGGCTGAAGCACAAAAATCCTGTTGATTTAGTGTATTTCTAATTGCAACAGTTAAAATAACCTTCCATCCCTTCAACCAGTAAGTTACGTGTGCCTTATCTTCTTTCACACACAATGGCAAAGAAAGAAATCCACACTGCGTCAGTAAAGCCCACTTCAGCTTTCCCAACACCACTCTTTGTCACTAACATCACATCTTGATTTTCTTATCACACTTCAGACCAGGAACTGAAACAGAACAAATATGAAAAGCTTAGGCCACCCTACTCAGTATCTGAAATGCCTTGTGAGAAACCCTAACAATGATTTAAAAAGCATGCAAGTACCTCTGACCTGCTGAGTCTCTGGCTTTGAAGTAAAACAAAGCCACAATACTCACCTCTCTCATTCCTAGAGCTCCCTCATTAAACAAAACAGCAGCAATAACAACAGTAAAAAATCTGAAAGTGATCCTTTACATCAGAGCAGTACTTCACCAAACAATGGAAACATGTTATCCAAGAGAGTCAGTATTACTTCCAATAATGGGTAACAGAAGTCACCTGCTAACTACTGTAATAAATTCACCAAACTTCACATACTGAGAATGACTTTGTTCTCCTTCTCCTAAGCCATATAAAAAAAAATCAGATTAATTACGTGCTCTATATTTGCTCCCATTTAATCACCATACTCTAGCTCACCAAAAGTGAAGTCCCATAAATGTAGCATGAAGTCTTTATAAAACATCTAGTTACACAACATCTCAAGGATATCAGGGAAAAAAAGCATCAATTCAAAGCAATACAATTGCATCTGTAATACTAAAGGCTCCTCCTTTGCCAGAACATTTGTTTGCTCTCATTCAATAACATATGCTTTAAGAATTCAGGGACTGTAATTATCTATGTGTCTTTGTTTATAATTTGCTGTCGACTGTTCATGGTTGTTGGGGTTTTTTTTAATCATGAAGGATTTTTTTTCCCTTCTCAATAAACTCTTGTGTCCCACAATGTCTGCAGAATGAAAAAAGACACAATGTAGTAAGTAACTGGTCAAAACATAAAACCACACCCTAAAAATTATGACTACTGCAAGGTTCTACACGTTATTTGCTTAAGTCCAACTGCTCAAATTTTCAACTGTCAACATATATCCAATTTTTATCAAATGGAGCCTCGTGGTTCTCCATACTTAATTGATATGATAAGATTTTAGCTTTGACTGCAGGTCATCTATTTGTTTCATTAACATGCTAGCTCAACCCTGTTATCTTAAACTTTTATTCTTGGAACAGTTTACGCTTCTGCAGTATCTGAACAAAAATGTTATTTATTAGAAATCAGCCCCTAAAGGACACACAGAAAACACAAAAAATAATTACAGTGCAATTACTCACCTGCATGAGTTCATTGCTGTCAATCAGACTGTCTTCCAGCATCTCCTGGGTCAGCTTGCCCATGGTACTGTAAAACTCATCTGCAGTTTCACAACACTCTATTTGCCTACATCAAAATAAACGTTGGTTATATGATTATACACTTCCCAACAAAACCTGAATTTTCTGTCATCAGAAAATATGTGCTTCCATTAGACACCTTATTTCTTACATTTATTGCAACCCTACACTTCCAAATAGTAAAACTGTGCACATTACACTGGAAATGCTGGTGTAATAAAAGTACACCCAGAGCACAGCTTACTCTCCTGGCAGCTCATGATAAAGGATTCATGCATGGCCAGACAGGTTATTCCCTCTGCCCCTTTCACTTCTACAGCATGAGAACCAATAAATTTGGCCTCCTACTAGCACAAGGACCTCTCCCATCAGCTTAAAAAAGATTTCTTGACTGTCTCATCACTCATTCTTCACTATGCAGCAAATGGCTGAATGTACTGGTTGAACTGGATTTTTTTAGTCAGATGGGAACATATGAACCAGCCAGAAAACATTCCAGTGGAGTAAGTTCAGGTGTTATTTATACAACATTGTATTAAAAAAACTGAGCTCATATAATGCAGAATGAAGGAAAACTCCCTCATATTCTGTGTCTGAATGCTATTTCTGAATTAGAGATGCAAACTTTTTTGTTGTGTTGTTTTGTTTTTTTTGTTTTGGGGATGGGTTTTTTTCTTTGTTTGGGGTTTTTTTCAAGTTTTGCGGTGGGTTTTTTTTTTCTCCACTTTCCTTTAAATTTCTAAAAACACAGAATCACCCACTGACTGTCAGCTAGAGGAAGAGAAATATGAGTGATATGCTTGTGTGAGTAGCTGCTCTATACATGTTAAAGTCAACTGCTAAAAATCCTCTCCTGTCAAATGAAAAATGTATTTTACTTCTTAGCCCAACAAGTGCAATGCTGGCTACATACTGGAGAGTGCTCTGCAAAATACAGCTGCTGGAATGATCAAAAAAGTACATGGCCTTTTTTTCTTAAGGATTAGAAGAGGAAGCTTCCCTAGATCTTCAGTGTCCATCTGGAATAATCACTGAAGTATGAAACTCCTACTGAAATCATAGTTTAGCTAAAAAAATGCTTAAGTAGTCAGGGGGGGAAGTAGAAACAATGAAAATGTAGTCAATGATCACAGACTGTGCTTACCTTCCCTGATACCTGCATTCTCTCATGACCTCCACATACTGCTTTCTCTACAGAACCTGTTTTTAAGCTGCCCATTCCTTCAGTCTCCCTCAACACAGAAGCAGGATTCAACTGCCTGAATTTTAGGAAAAACACTTCTCACCCCATTTTCATGCCTAGAAAGACAGTCTTGAGAAGTACAAAGATCATGAGACTATGAGCACTGTTTCAGGTCTCACTTCTTTAAATGCCCGCTTTCTATTTCTAGCAGAGAAGAAAGAGGAACAAATCAGTCCTCTCCCAGCAAAAACACAGTGCCTGGTCTTTTACTTCCTCATTTAATTCAATACCATTAATCACGAGCTTAATGAAGTTCAATTCTTGTTCAGTCTCAGCAATCATCATCTTCTGGATCTCTGGTTATCACACCAGTGTCCCTTTCTGTTAATTGCCCCAAATCTGAAAGACCTTCTCCCACTTCCCACAAAGGCAAGCAGTGTGATCAGTTTACTCTTTTTGACATATTCTTATAGATTATTCCATTCCTCCCGGTTTTTATAAAACACATTTCATTTTTGCTTTAAATTCTACAGTAAAATCTTCAAAGCGGTGACTTGATTTTTTTATCGTGTTATGAGCTGAAACATTTTTAATTACAGCTTTGAAGTGCACAGAGACCTACTGCAATAAGACCTTTTATCTAAAGGTCTAGTACAAAGTAACAAAGCCCAATGGGACTATAAATTGCTTAATCCTAATTCAAATGATTCATGCAAGTTTCGTTCCTGAACTAACAAATAAAGCCCCTAGGAAATCAGCAATCAATTAATAAATTAAAATACATTCTCATTCTAATTCTTCAGATTAAAAATCAAATATACTAAACAATCTCTCACAATGCTGCTGGCCTGCAGTGCTAACTTGTTCAGAAACAAAGAAGAAATTAAACCTTCAAGGACAAAGCTGAACATAAGTCCCAGTAATTTAGTCTCAGGGAAAAAAGGAAGATGACTGTTGACAGGCATCACAAGAAAAATTTTATGCAGTCACTGACACCAGCTGAGAAAAGTTTCCAGCTGAACTAACATCTGTTCAACCTGTCAGAGCTCACACCTGAATGCAAATATTTCCTATGATATCAAAGGAAGAACTAACCATCTATTTTGTTCTGTCCAATGTGGTCACTTTCCAAGGCCATAAAGAACTACAACAGAAACTTGGCTAGAATGTACCTAAAAGCAGAGAATTTCAGGAAAAATTGTTTGCAGGTCTTAACAGAATATGACTGTAAAAGACCAAATCATTCTCTTACAACACGGAACTCTCTTCTTGGGTACAGCCAATGGACTAAAATCCTTTGGTGTACTGAAGTGAATATAAGGGAATTAACATCTCCAGCTTCAGATAGCCAAGAAAATTAGCCAGTCACACTCAAGTCTCTCTGTTTTTCCATAGAGTATTTACCAGCTCCCTCAGAGGTTAATGCTCTAGAAAGTCCAACCACCTTTTAGAACAGCATGAAGACATTATACCTAGATAATGTAAAGAGTCAATTCATTATCATGATTTGTGCAGCTTTTAAAAATAGATTCGTTATCCTGAAAAATTGCATCTTGTTTAAATGGGAAAACTGACTCTTCAGATAACATAAGCTGCATACACTGTACATACTCAAAAGAAAAATGTGATTAAAATGACCACTTACTCTCCTAGCTTTGCCCAGATAGCCAAAGCTACTCTCAGTATAATTTCAGAGCCTTCAAAGAATACTGAATCCCAGATCTTCAGAACTGTATGGTTAGGCAGACAAGTGGCAAAGAGGGTCAGAAACCACTGCATTGTGAAGACATTTGTAAGTGGGGGTTCGTAGCCTCCTGAAAAAAAAATAGTTCTTAAAGTAATTGTAATCTGCTGTTATTTTACAAGCAGTATAAACTACATACTGAAATCCAGCAGATGTTCTAGTATGTCTGATATTGCTCAAAACTTACTGAGCCTGCAGCTGTCCAGAAACGAGCTGAGAAAAAGAGCAATGGAAAAAGGACATACTTGGTCACCTTGCATTCTGCCACACTGCAAAAAGCTCTAAACACCAGCACTGGTTTTGGAGCATAAACTATGCATAACACCAAAATACATTTTTTTCCTTATATCAGGAAGATTGATTTTCCTTCCCCAGTACCATATGAGCTTAAAGCTTTTATGAAAAAAACAAAACCAAAACACATGCGCTGCATTGCGTAGAAGTTTTTATCTGTGTGAAGGTTAAGCTGTCTCTGTAAAGTCTTATCTATTATTTTAAAATCCTGATGTACTGCCAGCTTAGCAGAAGCAATTGTGACACATTCAGTTTTCCTTTTGTCTTGCTGATTTAGTATTTCTGTCTGAAATTCGGAAGTTTTACTTTCTTGTCATGCTCGGAGAACACTCTGTGCACCCTAGTATAAACTGATGCACTGAAGGTCATGACCAAAGAGGCTGCTGCCTGAAAATGCTTTCAAACAGTAACTAGATCCTTGATACTCCTTTGTTTCTATGCAGTTTGGGCAGCCTTCCAGTACCTGCAGGGGGCCTGTAAGAAAGCTGGAGAGGGACTTTTTTACAAGGGCATGTAATGATAGGACACAGGGTAATGGTTTAAAACTGGAAGAGGGAAGATTTATATTAGATATTAGGAAGAAATTATTTACCATGAGGGTGGTGAGACACTGGAACAGGTTGCCCAGGGAAACTGTCGAGGCCCCCTCCCTCAAAGTGTTCAAGGTCAGACTGGATAGGGCTTTGAGAAATATGGTCTAGTGCGATGTATCACTGCCCATTCAGAGGAGAGAGAACTAGATGATCTTTAAGGTCCTGTCCAGCCCAAACTATCCTATGATTCTATGAAAATACATCTTCTAAGCAATAAACTCATGTAAACACGTGAATGACTATTTTTAGACCAGTGCTCAGATGAAACAATAGCAAAAAGGAATTAAATGATCTTTTCTGTTGAACCTACCTCCACTTTCTCTGTTAGCAGCTCTTTGCAGGGTATCTAAGTGCTGAGACAGTTCAGGGAGCTTCATTCGTAAAAGATCTCGGAAAACAGCCATATCCACTGAGAGAGCACGGAGATTATTGACAAAATAGCTATCAGGAAGCACCTTATCAATTAGGTAAATCATGATCTGTGGAAGGAAATTAAATACAATCCTGTAGGACTTAAAGGGCCAGTTATTTTCTAGGAATAACAGAAAAAATAAATAGAATTTGAAAGAATTTGCTGGAAAAGAATGGCTTGGAGCCAGTGGCAACACATGCCTCTGGTATCTCCATTTCTATGGAGAAAAAACATCACTTTCAGTATACATAGGTACACTAGGTATCCACAAGCAATTAAGGTGCAAAGGCCTCTTGAAGTTGTCCAGAATTTATGAACTACTAGTGACCAAAATCAGTAACACAATAGGCTACACCCCAAACTGGAAGCATTACTCAAAACAAGGGAATTTTTGACACTTTTCATGTTGTACATGTCTATGATCTTCTCCACTCTACCGGCAAGTTCTGCTGTCCCATCTCTGGCTGTTAACTGCCACAACTAGAAGACTGATTTTACAAATAATTTTCCCCCTCCTCTCCAAAATGCAAGACACTGTTTGTTAAGAAACATTCTCCACACATTTTATTGCAATGTGTTACCATGTGCTGCACTTCATCTTATCACATTAAAAGGTGCTAAATTAAGCAGCACAATACATTTTAAACAGACACCTGTTTCAAGTGAGACAGCTCAACCCTATGGGTGGCAATGTATTAACTGGATAGTGTCAGACTTTTAAGAATGATCAAATGAAACAAAGAAACATGCAAAAGCTGATGTATGTCTTCAGCCCAACAGAAGATGCCGGCCTTCACTTCACGACCTTTTACAATCTCTGTGGCCACTCTACAAACTGTATCCAGAGGGCCTGCATGTGGTCATCCCATCTGTTTCAACTCCCCATTACTCCTTCCATAAAATTTCCAACAAGCACCCTTATTGCCCATTTCCTCTTAATGCCTGGGAAGAGTACAAACAGAGAGGAGATGCTTGAGACAAAGAAGAATCCTTCTTTCAATCCCTCTCTTTTCATAAAGATCATAAGATAAAAACAACTTGGCAGACACTGCACTTCCAAAAGCATCACCTTACACAGTATTACTGCTCCCTTCTCTCTCCCAGACTGTATGTGACTCTACACTAGCACTTGTCCTTGAAAGACTTTTTTGGGAAATAACATTCTTCTGTTCCATATTCCATGTAGCTTGGTAGTCAAGACAGGTCAATCAATAGCTTTTACAAATGCTTTTTTCTGTTGTTGTTTAGTTTTAAGGATTGAAAGCAAATAGGTGATCAAAACATGACAGACAAGGAAGCTGGAATCTCGTTTTGTCAGATGCATTCTCTCATCTGTGCTGAATACTGGGACACCTCACTGTCTTTTTAAAAGATGCTTTCTTTTGTTCAGATATATTTCGATAATTTAATACAGCAATTTTAATTTAGAAGTGTGCTGTTTGTGTTTTCATTAATTTCTTACAACAATAAACCCCTACGAAATTAAACCATTTCATAAAGGCTTTTGCTCCCTTCCCATTGAGTGGTGTGAGTTCAGAAATCTCAGATATATGAGATCATAGGAATGCCTGGCTGGGTACCGACTGAAGCTACCATGTCGGCTCCCATGCTGTTAAAGCCTCCTGATGTCCATAGTACCAGCCATTCCCCAGCCTCTGGGAGACACTTCCCAAACACAGAGCTTTGTTTACAACGTCCTTCCCAGAATGTGGACTTGACTGGCAAGCCCTGTGAATCCCCTTGCTCCCTTAACTCCCAGGCTCTGCAATAACCCAAACACCATTTCCCCACAGCTCCAAGGGCAGCTTTGCAGGCAACAGCCTCTGCAGCTGTTCCAAAGTCACTCCTCACTTGCTTTAGATGGCACAGTGCCTACAACAGCAAAACAGCCACATGCTCAAACAATTCCTTTTGTCTCCCTAGGACAAAGAGCCTGACAGTGCTCTCAGTAAAAGTCAATCCACTAATATAAAGGATGAACACAGTTCTTAAAATCAACTTGGACTTCATAAACCTTGGGCAATCATATTTCCTATATTATAATGTTTTAGGAGCTCCTGGACAGTGTAAGTTCATAATAAAATGTTAAAACAAGTGAGGAAATTTTTAGCAAGAATTAATGAAAGGAAATTTTACTCTCTGATATGAAGTAGGCATATGATGGTATTTTCATACTATTACAGGCAGCTCTCTAGAATGAAGTATTAAATATCAGCTAGCTGGACTCCACTAACAAAAACTTTATATTTTAGGAGCTCTGAGTGAATTTAAGTATTTACCTTATTTAAATAATTGTCTATGGCAAAATGAACAGCTCAGTATCTCAACAGTCATCTTTGACTAATTTGACCCCAACTCACACATAGGAGCAAGCTGACTTCAGGAAATTTGCACATGATCATGGCAAACCTTAAAGCATGCCTTGTAGTAAACTGTACTTCCATTTTCTGACATATGATCAATTTCATTAAGCTTTATTTTAATTAGAATAGAAAAAGCCTAAAAAATTCAACACTGTGTGACTAATGTATAGCCCAGAAAGTAGCTTCAAGGTGATTTATTTTAATTTAAAATACTTTGTTTTTTCCTAGAATTTGCTTTGAAACGCAGCAAACATGAACTGCCTCGCATTCCACTGCCACACAAGAGGCTGATAATTAAATCTGAAGGTTTCAGCTAACTAACATGGGATTTGGGATTGTGAGATAAGATATTTTAAAACCAGTTGCCATGTTCCCATTTCTTGTCATTATGGTCAAGATGTCATCTGTTTGTTAAAAAAAAACACAACAAACTGGTAACATTCACACTGTTCACTTCAGCTCAGAAAGAATAACAATCTGCAGATATAAATTGGTTGACTCCTTTGTGTCCTGCTCTTTTAGGCTGTCATGAAATCAATGCACTGGTTTATTCTGAAATTCACTAATTAAAAGCAATCTTCAACACTGGAAGAAATATAATATTTACTCACTTTCAGGGCATCCCCTTCATTGCCCTCCATTACTTCCAGAATAAGTGCAGCCAATATGTTGAATCCTTGACAATAACCAACAGATTTATTCCATCTGGCATAAGCCAGCAAAACGCGTTTTAACACCACTCGATCTTGCTCTGCCTCCTGGCCACAGTAAGAACTGCAACCAGTTCGGTGAAGGTCCTTTAAAGGGGGGGAAAAAAGGAAAAAAAAAAAAGACAGGAACAGAGAGAAAAGATGTGCATTTTCCTTAACTTTTCGTTCTCCCGCCTGCCCCTCCCAGTCCTTCTTCCACCTCCACTCGCCCAATACATTCTCCCAAAGCTGATGATGTTTCTTTTTTAACTGTAAACTTCTAGCTTAGTGAAGAGAAATAGGCTCAGCAAGCTCTTAAGTAAACATGTTACCTAAAGTCAGTATACAGTAATTGTTTCCCAGGTTAACACTAACCAGACCAGTGCAGAAGAAGGACCAAAGAAGTTAAAGAAAAAATTTTCATGAGCCAATGGGAATTAAGGTGTAATTTTTGTCAAAGCAGTTGCAGAGACCAAAATAAATGCAAATTCCATCTATTTAAAAAACAAAAACCAAAAACAACCTTCCCTTTTCATTAACAACATAAAATAAATGAGCTGGCTACCTTTACTATCTGGATGCCCATAGAGTCATCATCAGGATTACTTCTTTCATTGAAGGTGAAACGCATGGTTTTATCCCAGTCAATGGCAATACTGTGCAGGTACTGATCAGCTAGGGTCAGCCAAACCTACAAACACACAAAGCAAGTCACCAAAAGAAATTATTTCTCAGATAAAATATAAAAACAGTTTTCATACATCCTGTCAGACAAACCTTGTCAGTTTCCCCCAGCTGACATCTGCTGTTAGGCTTGAAATATACATAACCGTATCTAAAACCATTTGTGCACAATTAAAATAACACCTTGCTCCCTAAAGCATAAAGGAAGGAATCAGCATTAAGTGTCCACATCTGTGAACTGCTCACAAAGATGCAAGTGAGAAACTGAATCCACATGGACTCTCCAAGATGGAAGCAAGCTTTCCTACCAGGACCCTCCTTGTCAGTTCAGCTCTTCTAGCCTCTTCACCAGCAAGGAGTTCTAAGAGGTAACACTGTGGCTGTGTTTCCTCAAACCCAGCCATGGATCTGTCTCCTGGAAAGCCCACAGAAGAAATCTAGTGGTGCTTCTCATTACCAGAGGTCTCTAATGATCAACTTTGCAGAAGAAACAGGATCTAGTGTTAACCATTTGGGATTGATCTCAAAGTACCACATGGATCAGAGTAAGCTACTCTTACAAGAGGGCTTTCTCAACTGTTGGTGCTACAGGGGGTTCTGAAAACAAACATTATTTTTAAAGCCTAATAATTACCAGAAGAGATTTATGCATGTGTATCTAAGACAAAGGCTGGGCCTTTATTACACATTTGAAAAGTTCCTGAATCATGAAAGATACATGACGTATCACACAAAGACAACCAGTAAAGGATCTTTCTCTTTAAGAAACTCAAAGAAATCATGAAACCAAACTGGCCAAGTTTTATGTCAGTTATTAACACACTCAAGTGAGAAAAGCAATTCAGACACTTCCCACAGATTTAAACACGTAGATAGCTGCATGATGAAGGAATTTATAGACAGCTCCCAGAATCTCATGTTTTCTCATTTAAATGTCCCTTCCCACACATTTGCAAAGCCACCCATGCAGAGAGGAATGCTGCTGTTCTGCCTCCCAGCAGCCTTTGGCACTGGTGACATCCTACTGATGCTGTTTGACTGGATTCTTTCTTTCTGCCAGCCCCAGAAAACAAATGTCACATGCCACAGCAATAATGCAGATGTCACCCTTCTCCTTCTGCTGCCAGCAAAGGAGGCAATCAGCATGCTGCCAACACAAAATGTTTCCTTTATTTTGGTATCAATCTCATTAAAATAATTGTGAAACCAGAGAATAGCAGTGGAAAGACAAAATCCCTTTTCTTAGCGCTAATTCTTTGGTTAGCATCATGTGGTCACTTGTGAGCAAACACAGAGATGGGCAGAATGCAAAGGAAAAGAGAGATCTGAGTTGGATGATGTGGCAGAGCATACCCCAGAAAGTCTGCTGATGACACAAAGCTGGAAGAAGTGACTGATAAGTCCTACAGCACCTTGCCAGCCCATTTATCCAGCCTGTCAAGAACCTCATGAACTTCAACAAGGAGAAGTGAGGTGTCCTGCACCTGAAGACAAACAAGCACAGGCACCCGTATATGCTGGGGACCATCCAGCTGCAAAACAGCTTTGCAGAGCTGGGGGTGCTAGTGGACAAACAGTTGATGATGAGGCAGCAATGTGCCCTTGTGACAAGAAAGGCCAAAGGCCCTCTGGGCTGCATGAGGCAGAGCGTTCCCAGCAGGTGGAGGGAGGTGATCCTTCCCCTCTGCTCAGCCCTGGTGAGACACACCTGGAGTGGTAGGTCCAGTCAGTCCTGGGCTCCCCCAGTGCAGCAGACAGAGCTACTGAAGACAGTGCAGCAAGGAGCCACTAAGAGGATTAAAGGACTGGAGCATAAATCCCATGAGGAAAGGCTGAGAGAGCTGTGACTGTTCAGCCTGGAGAAGAGAAAGCTCCTACAGTATCTTACAAATTTATATAATACCTGAAGGGAGGGTACAAAGAGGATGGAGCCAGGCTCTTCTCAGTGGTGCCCAGTGACAGAACCAGAGACAACAAGCACAAATTGAAATACAGGAGGTTCTGTTCAAACAGCAAGGAACACTTTTTTTTACTGCAAGTGTGACAGAGCGCTGAGAGAGATTGTCCACTGAGACTGTAGAGTCTTCTTCCTTGGAGATATTCAAAAGCCATGAGGACAGTCCCTTGTAACTGGCTGAAGGTGGCCCTGCTTGGGCATGGGGGTTGGATTACATGACCTCAGGAGGTCCCTGCCAACCTCAAACACTGTGATTCTATGACCTCTGCCACTCATTTACTGCAGAAAAGTGTCTCAGAGGCTTACTGGAGTGTGGGAAAAGAACACTTCAGGAAAGAAAACAGGCTGTTTGATGGATTTAATGATTCGCTGGAGTTGCAAATTAAAAGTAAAAGCATAGTGATGTGAGGAAAAGGATGCCACTCTAAGACTTCCATTTCCTTCTCCCCTGATTTATGAAGAGGGACAGCCCCGGTTAGAAAGACAGCAAAAAGAAAACAGGAAAAGGGAAACGAATCTGATGCGTCAAAAATACGTGTGACTCAGTTTTATAGAAAAGATGAACAGACATGCATTTTTCGAAACCAGGGAACTTCTATTCTAACATTGCTGAAGAAAACAATAAAGCAAGTTTAGGAAAATCCCACGCTGGACCTTGTCTTGCAATACTAACCCAGTAAAATTTTTCATAATTGGCACACTCTACCACTCTACATCACTGACTCTGAACTTCCCTAATTTAGGCTGTCTGCCTTTCCCCCATCAAATGTTTCTTTCATTCTTGTCAGCACTAGCAGCTATCAACTTCACCTTCATAGCATGACAGCCTACTCTGCAGATTTGCTCTCCTTTCAGTTGATCTCCAGCTGCGGAGGCAGCAATTCCTTGAGACTGACAGAACGAAGCAACAACATCTGCACCAGAATCAGTTACCTAAGTCTCAAGCAGAAAGAGCTCAGCTCTTGAAAACACCATTTTCACCTGTCTCCTCAGCCTCCCACCTGCTCTGTGAGGTTATCAGTGAAGAACATGAACTAGGAAGAATCCCCAGTGTAACTTAAAGCTTCCAATATTTGTGAAAAACCACTGATGCCATTCACCTCTCTCCCCTGAAGAACCCACAGGCAACATCCGACAAAGTGTACAGGTCTACGTACCTTTCTCCGCCATTCTTTTGGTATTCCTGTTGGCAATCTGGCCACTGCTTTGAGTGCATCATGCCACTAAAAGCAAAAGCATCCAAAAATGTATAAAATCCACCATTTAATGCAACAGGATAACAACATTTATGACACTGGAGACACGCACATTCATTTCATTTTACTGCACACATTGCAGTCCAACTGCTTAATCCACCCATGGGGAAAATGTAGATGCATTACTTAATAATACAACAAAAAGGTAATATTCCAGGACACGGAGACTTATGAAGTATCTGAGTAAACAATGAAAGCCTATTGCATTTTCCAAATACTAATAAAACAGCTCTTGATGCAATTGCAAACAATATGCTGACACTGATGAACTTTTGAACTAGGGCAAGTACCCTGATAGAAGAGAATCCAGACCTCAAGAGAAAAATTAATCGAATTACCTGCTGAAAACCATTTTGACCTAAAGATGGTTCAAGAGTGAACTTCAATTTTGTATCAACCCCTAGAAACAAACAGGAAAAAAAAAAAAAAAGGTCATTATTTCCATCTAGCTTAGAAGAGGGAAAAAAAACCCCAAACCAAACAAAACCACAATTGAAATACAATTTCAGCTACATGTTTCAATAATTACACTTCAACCTGTTTCTGTGAATTATTGCCTTCACAGTGATCTCAAGGCAAATGTTAAGTAGTACCTGGACAAAATGTTTTTAAAATCAGTAATACCCTCTTTAGTGATGAAGTTGGGCACAACTAATTTCACTAAAAATCACAGAGTTAACTATTTTTCAAACTAGATCTGCACACGGCCAACTATTATATGCACAGAAAAAATATCTACAGGGACAGTTTATTTCCTTTTATTTCAACTTCTTGACATTAAATTACTCAAAACTCACTTCTAAGTTTGGGGTGCTAAAATTATTTCGTTGCTCAGAATATATATATTTACAATGGCTCAGAATATAAAGCACGTTTGGTCAGTATTCCCATTTAAGCTTAGATGTTGGCCATATGAGCAAGTTATTTTAATTGGTATAAAGATGCCTGCTAATAAAATACTATATAAAATGGCAGGATCTCGGGTTTAGCCTACACTGGGTCATGCCATAACATGAGGCACAGGCACACTTGCTATTTATTTGCTTTACATCCCACATTTTGGCGGTTCCAGGTCCCTGCTGCTGGAAGTGCCGCTGTCCAGAGCCCGGGTGCTGAACGCCGCGTCCCATCCCTCCCTCAACGCCTCTGGCATAAAGAACAGAGCCTTTCTTCATTTGTCCTCCATCATTTAATACCAAATATTGCTCTATATTTAAAAGTATAGATTTTTTAATTTCTAGAATATCAAGCCAAACGTTTTTAATATATAACCCGTGCATGTGTGTGTATATATATATATTAGAAAACAAACGTATTTTAATCCTGCAAGGTTTTAGGTATATGAAAATCCATGCTAACCAACTCACCAGTAATACTCAGTGCTTTTGAGAACTAAGCCTGCGAGTCTAAGAGAAACCCAAACTGTAGTGGCATTTGCTAGTTATGGAATGTAATATGCCTTTCAGCATTTGCATACTGAAGTGGCAGTAAGTAATTTTAAAACCTAAATGCTTAATAAATACAGATTTAAAGACAAAGCCTTCTCCTTCAAGGCTTCTCCCAACCTCTTCCCTTTTGGTAGGGGGGGGGGAAGAGAAAGAAAGAAAATTCACACAAAACCTAGTACTGTTTAGAATTTTAGCATTTTAGAATTGCATCATTGAGACATGGGGCTTGGCACTTTCCATTCCCTGCGTCAGGTTTAAAAGACATGCTTGTCAGATCTAGCAAAATAAAAGCTTTAAACCGTAATAGAATTCTTTAATGTTTTTCAAGGCATTTAACAGTTATTCCTGGAAGTAACTGTTTATTAGTATTCTTCCCCATAACTCCATGACACTCAGCAGGGACTTCTAATAGATAAATCTCTTCATAATAATTCAAAGCCATGTAACAATGCCAGTAACGTACTAAGATGGAATTGTATCACATTTGCTGTAAATGCAAAAAAGTGAGTCTCGTTCCCAAGCAATCTAGTGGTAAGCACTGGAAAACCCTAATACACACAAAAAGATATCACGACCAAGAGCTCTTTTTGTTAAGGTAACAGATGTTGACATGTTATCTAACACTGCCTCGTAGCAAAGAAGCAATAGCTTTCCAAAATAATCACATATTCATTTCCAGCTCAGCAGCCAAATATTAAATCACAGTTTTCTAAGACTTAGAGATCCCAGTAATCATTTCACTCTTTGTCTTATAAATTTCAGAAGAAATATGCAAGAAGAGACAGCCAAGTCTGCAAAAGATCAAGCACAGTAAGATATAACCTCAGAATAAGGTCAAGTATCATTTCCATGAACATCCTGACCACGGAGTTCACATTGAGGCCCAGAGAGCTCTCTCTCTTGATTTAATGGGACTGAAATGAGATTCTTGAACCTCCATCCACCACAGCATTTATTAAAACATGACAAACAGTTATGATGGCTGTGAAAATTACTAGAAATGAGAAGAACATGTGGCAACACCAGACTACACAGTGCACTCTCTTTGGTATGGCAAGGTCAGGCCGCATTCTGTAACCTCTACTAGAAGCCACTATTGTCTGTGTCCCCTTACTTGTTCCTAGTTAGAAATAATCTCAAAATCAAACTATGGGATGATTTTGTGACAGGGGAAGGGAAGAGCCATGGGAAGTGAGCCACAGATCATACAGGAACAGTTCATTCCTATCCATTTTAAAGAATTTACCTTTCCTAAAACAAACAAAATTACAACCTTGCTCAGTAAGAGAACAGCAAGTAAACAAGAAGAAAGAAGCTGCAAAATACAGACAGAGCAAGGAAGGCTATACCCACCCAGGAGCTCCTTGGGGCAGAAAGGCAGCCAGCAAGCTGGGAGCAGCACTTCATTGCTCGTTACTTATTTCTGGCACAAGAACCATCTTGCTATGTGCAGTTTCTGCCCACCTCACTGAATTTGTCCTTGGACTTCAGAGCTTCAAGGAAATTAACGCCTATCCCTTTTCCAACCTCTCTTGGTTTCCCAAACCTTCCTATCTCCATCATTCCCCTTTTCCTATGCAATCTCCCACCCCTACACATACTTTTTCCTTTTTTCCCCCCACTCAATTCTATTTTCATCCTGTCCACTTTTGCCTGCATCATCACCAGCCTTTCCCCAAGGGCTCTTTCCATATACCATCTCTTCTCCCTTACACTTCCCTCAGCTGCTACCTCTTACCAGCAACTCCTTCAGTTGTCTTCCCCCCACAAACTTAGATTCTTCAATAGCTTCTTCCCCTCTCAGCACCCCACAACCGTCCAACCCTAACACAGACATTCTGCTCATATTTTCCCTGGATTTTCTCATGTTTGTCAATCCTTCATCTCTGGGCTGTGTTCCTCTCCATTATGTCAACACATGCTCTTTGCAGAAAAGACCTCTTAGGGCCTTATGGGAACTTTTCATCCCAGCTCATCTGCAAGGAGGACAGGCTGGCAGGAATACACCATCTACGCAGCAGTATTTCCCACTCTTGGTGACTCTAAGTGCTGTCAGTACAACTCAGCCCTTTTACATCAAGCCAGCCAGGCTATCGTGTCATCTGACAAATTATCACCCTCAGTTCATACACTTTCGACTGATGCTTCACACCGAAAAACTGTATTAACTCATGCAAGCAGGAGTGTTTTGGGAACATGTATTAATTATTAGCTCCCCAAATATAAGCACACACAAAAGTACATATTTTTGCACCAGTCAAATTTCTGAAGGTCTGTTCATTGCCCTTGCAACCAGGTCACCAGAAACCATTGCTGAAAAGTTATTTTGAAAAATAATGTTAAAGGAAAAATACAAAAATCCACAAAATCCAGACCAGTTAGCTTTTCCACATTAAATATACAACCACTCCTGACAACAAAAGGCTGTAAGAGGAGAGACTGCAGCCTTAGGATTCCCAAACCCTAGCAGTCTTCCACTGCACGACTAAAATCTAGCACACAACCACCTAAATGAGCCACTGGAGTGGTCTAAAATGTTGAGGTCAGCCAAGTACCTGGATGAAGAAATCAAATCCCCACTCCTCACCAACATGAAACAAAAGGATGAGGCAAATTCTGGGAATTTTTCAGAAAAACTAAACCAGAAAAAGCATAGGAAGATTATCTGTTCTGATGCATGTGTGTGAGCTTTAAAGCCACAGCTTCAAACTTACAAAGCATATCGCTGTGTGTTTTTGGCTGTACTTAAAAGCAGCTGTGGAAACATCTTCAATGGAAAGCAAATAAATATTTAATTGAAAACATATGAGGGAAAAGGCCCAAAGCAGCTTTGTGTGCAGAGGAAGTCCAAACCTGGGGGAAAAAGTGGCAACATTAACTCATTGCTTGTTTCAGGAAGATTCTTAGCCTTGTATTGTAATTTATCTCTAATTCTAAGTTTTCATCTGGAAAATGAGAAATAAAAGTAACATTCTGAGTAACTCTGCATAAAACCACTTTTGTTAGGAGCCAAAGTGCACTGAGAGCTCACTGAGTATCAAAGCACATCTAAATCAACAGTCTACAGAAACTTCTGAATACAGACACTGAAGAAAATACAAATACAAATTGAATACAAAATCTGAAGGAAACTTCATTCAGCTTATTATATGATCCTATGATTTATTTTTTTTTAAGGGCTCACTCAGTATCCTGTCTCCATTACTCTACAAAAGCATGCATGCTGAATTATATTATTGTGTTTATTTGCATATTGATTTTATGGAAACTTCAATCCAGTGGGATTTCCTAGCTTTGAGACTACGGCATTTGTGGTTATGCTTCCAATCATCTCCCCTGGTCTTTGTGGAAGCATAAGTAAAAGAACATCATTATCCAGATAACATTACCTGGGATATCAAAAGAGTCTGTGAGTCAGGAAATTTCCTCGAAAACAGCAACCCCACAAACCGACCAACCAGAACATCTCTGAGACCTTATTCATAATAAGGATCTGAAAGCCACCTCGAACACGGAACAGTCAGCACTGCGTGCATGGCACACATGCACAGCACAGCGGGAAACTGAGCCCTACACACTTCTGTGCGCTGCCCTACGGTTTCTTTAGACCTTGGACTCGCGTGCTCTGCAAATGCCTCGGATTAGGGAACAGATCAACATTTTAGCTACAAGTGACAGCTCTGCCACTGTAAATTGAACTCAAATTTCCAATACGTCAACAAAAACGCCAAATGATAAAAAAAATGTGACGGCAAACAATTAGAATCTAGTATTCTAGCCTCTAGTAATGATCACTCATCAGTGCTTCTGCTGAGAGCCCAGCTCCCGGGAGCAAACACACCGTGTTACCTGGTCCTTAAGAGACCCCGGTACTGAAGCAGGATCCAGAAAAAAACCCACCACAGATCCGCCCTTCCCCTCAGGAGAAGCACGGCTGCACGTTTAGACAACA